CAGCAGAATTCAAGCTTGTGAAGGCTGCAGAGGATGAAGGGGTTGAAGCTGAAGAGCAGCAGCAATTTCAGTCCTTGGTAGGCAGCCTCTTGTACGCAGCAGTTCACACGAGGCCCGACATCTCTTTCTCGGTTGGGCAGCTGGCTAGGGTGGTGCAGAATCCATCAGAGGAGCAGGTGGATGCAGCTGAGCGTGTGGTGAAGTACCTGAACTCTCACCCAAGCATTGGAGTTCAATACTCCGCATCTGCACAGGTGAAGCAGAAAGGGGTGGAGGTGCTGAAAGAGAAGGGGGAGAGGCTTGGAGAAGGCAAGCTATTTCTCACTTGCTTTACCGATGCTACGTGGGCTTCTGAGAAGGAGGATTCCTCATCTGTGGGAGGATACATCTGCGTAGTTGGGGGAGGACCTGTTAGTTGGAGGTCCAAGAAGCAGACGGAGACGGCACTCTCTTCCGTAGAATCAGAGTACATGGCGATGTTCCATGGGGTGAAGGAGGTGATTTGGCTGAGGAGGCTGTTAGAGGAGATTGGCCAGGAGCAGAAAGTTGCTACGCCGTTGTTTTGTGATAGCAAGGGGGCTCTTGGGATGGCCAGAAACGTTGTGCTTCATGGGCTGAACAAGCACATGCGTATCAAGTGGCACTGGCTGCGTAAGGAGGTGAAGAGGGGGACGGTGAATCCAATCTACATCAAGACTCACCAGCAGCCAGCAGACTTTCTCACCAAGAGGCTTGCGGATGAGCCTCATTGGCGTTGTGTGCGCATGAGTGGAATGAGCATGAACTAGCATGGAATGATGGGGAAGCAGCCGGCAGGCTGAGGGGGAGTGTGTTGGGTGCAAATGCACATTGCACGACATCCTGCCGTCTGTTTGTACGAGTATGCGTGTGCGAATGCATTTGCGTGTGAATGGTGTGTTCGTGTGTTTGTTTGCTTTCGCATTTTTCGCTTGATGCATTTGCAGGTACTCGCGCAATGTGCGCTTCGGCACAACATTGTACGCGCTATGAACAGTGCAAGCAGAAAGGACGAGCTCGCAAAGGAACCCAAGATGGAAGCTTTGCAGTTCGGTTGAGTTGATTGCACAGATTCAGTTCTATCCAACTCGAAATTGTACTGTTTTGTTTGGTTAACTATAGTGTAGCAGGGAAGGCACTATAGGGGTACAATTTAGGTGAAGGTTGGATGTTGTTTGTCTGTATCTGCATGCTACAAGGCCAGGGGAAACCAGCGGAACCAGCATTTGGCTGGTTGGGCAAAGACAAAACAGGTTCTGTTTTTAGAACCTGAACCTGGTTGTTGTTTTCCCAGGTTGGAAAAACAGAACCAGAGGTTGTTTACCAACCTACCACCTGCTATTTTGTCCAGCCAGGTTGGTTCTGTTGCTTGGAATTATTTGGGATCATCCCTGGTTGTTCCCAGGTTGATTCCCAAGGTCCTTGCTAGCTAGAACTATTTAATCCTTCTCTGTTTGTACCTGAATATAGTCAAATTGATTCATGCGAATTCCTTCCTCGCTGGAATTTCGTTTCTACGCGGTTCGTTGGCGGAATGCTACCCGAGTCAACGCTAGTACGCTAGCACTCTAATGCTAGGCAAACACCGTCTGAGCCATAACTTCGTAATGGCAGAACTTTTCGCGAGGCAACTTGGCTCATTTTAAAGCTCTTGGAGCGAGCTTCGATATAGCGAATTCTCAGCTTAATCCGATCGACGGTCTGCACGGCACGCTGCGCGACGTTCAAGGTACTCTTGCTGTTTTGACTAAGTCCTTCTTGATCCCTCTCTCTACAAACTCGGACCCGAGGATAGGGGCTGGTCTTGTACCAGGCACCCAGGGACCCTTGGAGGTGACCCCGAGGAGAGGTTTTAAGTTTGATTAAGTCCTAATAGCTTGAGTTTATTAGGCCCTTACACCAACAGGGCGTGCGTGCGTGCTTGCGTGCGTGCGTGCGTGCATGCGTGCGTGCATGCGTGCGTGCGTGCGTGCGTGCGTGCGTGCTTGGCGGATATTTGAAACAACTACACGGATAGAAGAGAAGAAAAACATTTTAGAAGGAAACATTCAAAGGCGCAACATTTACAGTCACACCCACACAGGCAATGGCAAGTGTATGTGAGGAGTGAGGAAAGGGGGGGAGGAGTTGGAGGTTGCGTGCGTGGATATTTTAAACGACGACACAGAAGGGAAGAGGACTTATTTGGAAGGAAACACTCGACGTTGCAACACTCACAGTCACAACACTCAGTCACAACACTCACAGTCACAACACTCACAATCACAACACTCACAGTCACAACACTCACAGTCACAACACTCAGTCACAACACTCAGTCACAACACTCGGTCACAACAGTCACAGTCACAGCACTCAGTCACAACACTCAGTCACAACACTCAGTCACAACACTCAGTCACAACACTCACAGTCACAACACTCACAATCACAACACTCACAGTCACAACACTCACAGTCACAATACTCACAGTCCCCAACTCTCACAGTCACAACTTAATTAGGCACAATACTCAGTCAACAACACTCACAGTCACAACACTCACAATCACAACACTCACAGTCACAACACACACAGTCGCAACACTCACAGTCGCAACACTCATAGTCACAACACTTACAGTCACAACACTAACAACACTCACAGTCACAACACTTACAGTCACAACACTCACAGTAACAACACTCACAGTCGCCACAAGCTTCTGAGTCCAGAGTAGCTTGCAGGGATTGTGCCACTGAGCTGATTGTATGTAATATCCCTGCATCCATCACACAGTCCCACCGTTCCAAGGCCCTTCGCATTGTGACAAACACACGATACACCGTGGCATCAGCATGTGAGACAGAAGCATGACGGGAGCATGACATCAGAAACAATAATGCCCCACGCCGTTCCTTGTCGTACTCTTTGAAAGGCGCCATGCGCTCTTATCAGCCCCATCATCCACCCACCCACCCTATGATCATTCCAAACCTCACATCCGCAGTTTCACTTTGCCTGTTTCTGCCCCCACCTGCCTTGTCCCCCTCCTTCTTCCCCTGAATCAACTCCTCAATCATCTTATCACGTCCACGGTACCTCGCACCGCAACACACATTGCTCAGAGCACATTGGCCCTATACATATCGTAACTCCCAAAGCTTCCACTTTTTCCTTCCCACCTACCCAACTCCCCTCAACTCTGCCCTCAAACCCTTCTAGTCGGGTGAACATCCTGCATCACTCCCCCCCTTCCCCCCATCCAACCCCAATCCAGCCCCAATTTACCCTTAGCGTAACAGCAACGTTCCCCCAACCTAATCCCATCCTCACCCAAACCTCGCACCAACCTCAACCCATCCTCACCCCATCCTCACCCCACCTCACCCCAAGCTGACCCCAACACCTCCTACCCCTTCCTCACATCTCAAACAGAGCAGTAGGGTTGACGAAGGATGGCGGGAGGGGCCTTTTGAGCTGATTCGACCCCAGCGCCCTGTGCAGTGGGTTTGATGGGGTTGTGGGGGGTAGGAAGGAGGGGGGTGGGGAGCAGGGCAAGAATGAGGACTTGGAGTAGGACAGGAAGTGGTTGGAGTAGGACAAGAAGTGGTTGGAGTAGGACAGGAAGTGGTTGGAGTAGGACGGGAAGTGGTTGGAGTAGGACAGGAAGTGGTTGGAGTAGGACAGGAAGTGGTTGGAGTAGGACAGGAAGTGGTTGGAGTAGGACAGGAAGTGGTTGGAGTAGGACAGGGGGGGGTGTTGGAGTAGGGCAGGGGTTGGCGCGGTTGGAGTGGGGCAGGGGGCGGTTGGAGTAGGGCAGCGGACGGTTGGAGTAGGGCAGGGGGAGGTTGGAGTGGGGCACCCAGCCATGCAGCAGCCATGCTGCCTGCCACCCACCCATGCACCCATCCAGCCAGACACCTACATATGCGCATGTGTCTGCCTGCAGGCTGCACTAACACAGCATAAGGCCTCGCACTCACAGGAAGCTCAGCTGAGGGAGGGTGCCAATGCTGGTGGGTATGCTGCCGATAAGCTTTTTGTAGCCCAGGTTCCTGCACAGCACAGGGAACAAGGAGCATCCGAAACATGTTTTAACCTCAAGGTCTAGTTTCCTTGAACCTTCTGTGCTGCAGATCCCTGCACGGACTAGGGGGTGGTGATGGAAAACTGGGGCAAACATATTGGTGTTTTAGGGAAACTGGGAGGTTCTATGCTTTGTGTCAAAGTGTGAAAATGAGCAGTAAACACCACATTTCCTGGATCAACAAAGCAAATCGCAAAGAAACAACCTTAGCAAGCACCGAAGAGACCTGACAGTGGTGATACCCTCCACAAGTGTGTCACAGGGTTCCAGGTTTTTTGTGGTGGGAATAGTGCCAAGAAAGGGGGCTTGGCTCGGCTCACAAAAGCTTGTTATATTGTCCTAGGCAGCGGAGGGACCGCGCATCAAAAGAATCTTATGTCACAATGGGCAACAGCAGGACGTTTGGACTCAGCGGTGACTCGGTGACTTGTCTCACAATGACGTGTCTCACAATGCCGTGTCTCACAATGCCGTGACATCGCCATCGATATTGCAAGTAACGGCACTGAAGGGACTTCTAAGTCAACTCAAAAGTCACCTCGTCTGGACTCAGCAGCAGTGACCCGGTGACTCAGCAGTGACTCAGTGACTTGTCTCACAATGCAGTGACATCGCCATCAATATTGCAAGTAATGCCAACGATGGTGCCACAGTCGTTGTCTGGTAACCACGTCGCACTGCCTGTGAACGCGCCCCACTGCTGCTTCAGCTCCTGCAGGACCGACCCTGGCATGTTGATGCATTGCATTGCATGGGAGGGGAGCGAGCGACTTGCATGAAAAATACTTTTGCCCCTCACACACAGGAAGGTTGTCCGCTACAGGGGGATTGAGACATGTCCCTCTCGTGCTTCATCTCCTGGGGGAACGACCCTCGCGTGTAACAAGAAAAAAACAACTTGCATGACAGATACTATGTCCCTACAGGCACGGAGCGAGGTGCAGGGATGTGGCAGGGACACGCCCGCCCTGCCCACTCCTTGTTCACAGGAAGCGCAGCCATGTTGGTGCTACTTTTGAACTCTCTCAAAGTAACACCAACATAGCGGGACACTCCCCGCCCACTCCTTGCCCACAGGAGGCCCCAGCCGGGGTAAATGGGAGAGGGCGGATTGGGTATGCGGGTCGCGCGGTATGAAGCGGTGAGTGTTCGCAACACGCAGTGTGGCAGTGCGAAAAAGATGCGCGCGTGCTCCTCTGGTTCATTATTCTTGGAGAGCATGGGAGGGGAGAGGGGAGGGGGAGGGGGGGAAGAGGGGAGATGGGAGGGGGAGAAGAGAGGGAAGGGGAGAGGGGAGCGGGAAGGAGAGGAGGGGGGGGCCAGGAGGAGGGGGTGGAAGGCGGGGGTGTTGTGTCGCCTGCGGGCTTTCACAAAGGCGGCGGTTGAAAGGGCTACGCCCCTTCCCCTGAACATTTGCTGTGGGTGAGAACCGTTCAAAACTCTGACTTCACTGAGTTGCTGACCGATGTCGGACATTCGCTGAGCTCCTTCATCTCTAAATTGTACTGACCCAAATGCGACCCTCAGATTACTTCCGGGCAACAATCGGGACATCTGGGAAACTGTCCCTAGAGTTACTTTTGGAACTGACCCTTTAGGTAACATTCGGGTCAGAAAGGCTCACCCAGGAGTAACTTTCGGGCCAGAAACAGGTCAGTTGCGGGACAGGTACGGGTCAGATTTTGGCGGGAAATGTCAGATCCGGGTCAGATGAACTGGCCCGAAAGTGACTCCAATGCCATTCTCAGGTCACACGTGCTCGGCACACGAACCGCATAAACCCCGATATAGTATGTTCCGTTTCCCTTTAATGAGTGTCAGTGTACAACGGTCGCTATACATTTTACGCAAGCATAACACGCGACGGATTCTCATCCTCCTTGCAGCATGATCAATTACACCATTGATTATGCCAATACCGTAGAATATAAAATTCAAAACTGCATTACTGCTAGAAGCTAACACACAAGACAAAGCGTCCACACGTTCCCGGTGCTAGCGGCGCGCTACGCTCCCAACTTTACCCCCCGCTCAGATAACGCCTCACAGGCCTACCCATTACACCCCCGGCAGCACGGGGGTGAAGAGCACACGTTCAAGTCCGCCACGGCTCACTTGTGTCACCCCCTGGGTCCATCTTTCCCCCATACTGCAGGGGCCTAAAGTCCTCCAGGTCACTCGCGTTGACATACAGGTGCTCAGCCCCCCACCGGAATCCGCCGACGACTGGATCGTACCACCTGCCCTTTGACACACCCAGCCAATGGGTGATCACTTTCAGCACCTGCTCGTTACAGTAACCTAGCCCCCCCTCGTTTTCCAGGGGGCTTGGTGTCATGCATATCGCCTTAGTGGTCCAGTTGCGTATCCCAAAATCGAACTGCCAACAGGTTAAACACAAAGCGTCAGCAGGTGGGATACATGGTGCCGCTAACAACACGCATCGACCGGCCAGAAAACCACTCACGGAATACAAGACCCAGGCGATGTGGTATGGCACCAGCACCAGGTTGCCTCCAAACACCCAGTCTGGGTAGGTCGCCTTGCATGCTTGGAAAAAGACCTTGCTTGTAAAGGGCCTCAAATCCTTGTCCTCGCAGCTCCATGTCGATACAAACTGCATAAGGTCCTTCTCTGTACACGCAGCGTCAGCCAACGAGGGTGTTAAATCAGGCCACGCATACACAGGCCCGGCACAGCACGCCACCTAAGCGGGTATCCCCCCCGTGCACCCACGGCACTCACTGGGCGCGTATGTCTTGTGCAGATCCTTTTTCACCTCGATTTCGACCTCCAGCTTGTAGATCCCCTCAGCCTCAACCTTGATCTCAAGCCCGTCCACGATCTTGCGGCGTGCATGCGACGAGGAGTCACTTCTGAACTTCGACCACACCTTGTTGACTACCGTGCTGTACGCTGCGTCTTGCATGGCGCGGTCGACGTCTAGCTGACAGACGTCGAAGTGGCACCGGAGCACCACGAGAAGGGCCACGTTCCGCTCGTCGTCCGTCGGCCAGTGTGTTACACCATGCGCTGCGCATGAACGCAGCAGCAGATGCATCGCCTTCTTGGCGTAAAACTGTGTTGCAGGGAGGGGGCGTGGGTGATTGGGGGGGGCAGGGGGGGGGAACCACCTTGCGGAAGACAAAGAGCAGTCTCCACACTTGACTAGAGAGGTCACAACAAGTTAACAGCCGCCATGCACATTTCCAAACCCACACCGAGCCCAGCAGTGCCTATGAGCCACATGTTGCGATGATGGGACATGCCACATACGTGAATCTTGTCTGCCGGATGCATTCCCGGCTGCAAATCAGGCCTAGGCATCGTTTGGGTTGTAGTCGACGACGATCGTCATCTTCGGCCGCTCACGCTTCAACCCCCTTCCATGCGTGCCAGGCGCGTGACGATCCCACGCAACATCATCGAGCGCTACGCCACCCGCGGCCATCCCCGTCTCTGTCCCGACGTCAACGCCGCCCACCCGTGGAGCCCCGTAGTTCCCCACGACCGCCAGCCTCCCAGCGCCCGACAGTCGGTTCATGGCGAATCCGCGGTGTGGCCGCGCAAATGCCTCTGCCACCGGGGCTAACTCTGGCACAGCTCGGCCGGCCCGTTTTGGTGCCTGCGTTGCCGCGGATGCGTCCCTCCGCGCCCCACTCTGTTGGGGTGCATCCACCGGCCTGGAGTTCGTCCTCCACACCGGCGGCTGTGCTGCCACGGCTCGCGTATCGGCTCCGCCTCCTTTGCCCGACTCATCCGCCGCAACGACCTCCATTCCCGCGAGAGCGGCATGCAGGTCTTCGGGAAGGGTGTAGTTCGGCGTGCTCCCATGTGCCGCAGTCGATGGACCCACTGTCCCACGAGCCGCCTGAATCTCCGCCCAAAGCAGCTTAATTTGCTCCATCGCCCGCGCGGCGACGTCGGCTCCACGACCATCGCCGCCGTCTTCGTGTTCCGCTCCACGGACACTGGGTTGTGTGTCCTCGCACGTGGCCAGAAAGGGCGTGGGAATCATGCCCGGCAAAACACCCCCTCCGCCCGGACCACGTTCTTGTACCTGCGGTGATGGTGCTAGCAAGGGCGTGGCAGGGATAAGGTTAGAAGGCGAGCCGGCAGTTTGAGAAGGACGCATCCTGGGCGGCGAAGCGAACAAGGTCCGGTTCACCACCCCCCCGCCACGAGATGGGGCCGCGTTGGACTCGGCTTCCACACCACTGTGCTTAAGTGTTGTGGTGGGTGTGTGCGGCCACGGCCTTGCGGCGTGCCCGGAATACGCTGATCCCCTGACGGCATCCTGCGAGCGAATGAGAGAGGTGGTAGGTGTGGGGGTCGATGTGGCGGGGTACCCGCACAGACCCGCCGCCGCCGTAGTCGCTGACGGCTGCAAACTCTTATCGTATGCTCGGGTTTGCGACGTCGCCGGCTCGCCTCGTGCGACCGTCGCGCTCTGGCCCGTGGCCGACGGATTGTCTCCATCGCTGACCTCCTCGTAGATGTTAAAAAAGTTGCGCCGCATGCCGGACGCCCGTGTCGTCACAGCCACGACCCTTCGAAGAACAGGCGTGTTGGCGTCACAGCGTGGGCGACTGGACCCGCTCCCTGTGGCCCGCACGCGCTTACCCGGACGGCCAGTGCAGATTCGCCGCAACCTCCCGTTCCTGCGAGTTCAGTTTGGTGAGAGAGAGGAGGCGTGTTATCAGTCTCCCCTTCGGACTCGGATTCGCTTGCGACCCAGTCCGCGTCGCCAGACTGATCGTCGCTGTCACTGGATGATGACTCCGTTCCTTCGCCGTCCACGTCTCCCTCTTCAGAGCACGACGAGTGTTGCACTTTAAACAGCACCTCGTTGTACTTCAGCCATGCCTCAGGGCCGCACTCGGTGCTGCGTGGACCGCCATGCTCAGTATCCCTGCTTGGGGTTGGATCACCACCTGCAAGAACACACGCAAACGCTACTTAGTAGCTTGGTGAGTACCCAGGGTCCCCGTATTGGCTGCATCGCCCATGGCCAACACGTGGACAAACCTTGCCAAATAAGGAATGGGCGTTGGGCATGCGGCTTACGGCAGGAACGGAAGATGCTTACCTTCCGCCTTGTACGAAGGTTCTGCAGTCCCCGCGTCCGCAGACGTAACCTCCGTCAGAAGCTTCGTATGGTGACGTTTCCGTGCTTCGCGCTCTGCGTGCACCCCCTCCGGAGTCTGACCGTATGGATTAGGCAACGGTCTCTGGCTCGGAACGGCGCTGACACCCTGAGCGGGCTGACGTTGGCCTGGCGGAAAATGTCTGGCGCCACGTAAACGCCGACCTCGATACTCAGCAGCGAGCGCCGCCGTGCGCTCACTCTCTTCCACCCACTTGCTGTCAAGCGCTCGAGTGCGGACCGTGGTTAAAACAAAATCCGTTTCGTTAAGGTGTGTGGGTGGCTTCCTATCTCGCGTGGGTCGGTCTAAGGTTAGAGACATGTTTCTGACCTCGAACTGGCTTCTTCAACAGGACGATACTGGGAACACTGGCTTTGGCGGATGCGCGTTAGCTAGGGTTACGAGTAGTACCCACAGAGCCACCGCAAGGGTTTCGCCATAAACGCTACGCGACAACAATGAACAAGAGTGTGAAGAAAACAGGTCCTGAAGGACGGACCAATCGTCCCCTGCTCCCTTGAAGCCCTGGCATTCGAAGTGACTGACAGCCGTGGATTGAAGTTCACGGACGTGCGAGTCAATCTAAACCGTTGGCTCGTTTCACAGCACACCACGGACGGGATGCGCCTCATTGGCCGCTTTTTCGACTGACCCCTGTCCACGCGTCGACCTAGAACTGCGACTATGACGTGTAACCTTATCGACACCCGAATTGAACACGGCACCGTGTGCCTCCACAACTGGTTCCCCTACATTCCACGCAAGCCAGTACCAGAAGCCTTAACGAACCCCTCTATAGCGTACCGTTTGGGACACATCGTGGGACAAGCTTGCGTGTTGATTCAACTTCACACCCTGCACTGCATATAATTTTGCGTCGTCACTACGGTAAGCCACGGTGATCGCACGCACCTGTGGCTGCGAAGTAATGAACCGTGCACCGCCGTTCGGTGTCACTTTTCCAACTTGCTCGTCCTCTTTTCAGACTTAGGGTGTTCACAACCACCATCCCCTCACCAGCCGCACTTCACGCCGCATAACAGCTGGGCCAACGTAGACATTCTCCTTCTGCATAGACATAAAGGGTGCACGCTCGTGCAACAGCCTACCATGCCTCCGAAGAAGTCTTAAGATCCGACCCCCCGTTTGAAGAAGTACAATATCCCTTACCCAATTGGTGGCTCCTATCTGACGTTGATGCAGAAACAGCTAGACACCCTGTCCCCTGGAAAGTTGGTGTCTGGCGACATCATTGAGTGGTGGGGGAGTAACACGTCCCTTGATTTGCGTCATGGCTAACAAATGATGCATCTTGTTGTTATCCTTGCTTAACGAGTTTCGTCATCCGTTTGATGCAGCATGCTTCAATATGAGACAAACAGAGAGGACCGGACGTGGCTATACGCCGGGACATACTTTTACACTCTTATTGACCGTGACATCACCGCTCCAGCACTGCGAAACTTCGCGTGCGGAGAGAATGTGTTGACCTACAAGTGGGTCATAGTTCCCATCCACCGCGAGTGAGTCATGAAGCATGTGTCATCATCTTTCATGGCATATGTACGCGACCACAACGCCTCATGTCGGTACCCTTTGTTGCCTTCGTTCTTTCAGCGGACACTGGAGCCTTGTCATACTTGACAACGACTATCCAGTCGACGAACACAACATCCCGCGACCTACCCGCATCCTGCATGCCGACTCGCTCTCGTTGCACACGGACATCGCAGGACCACTTAGGCGTTACCTGGCGGCTCAGCTCACTGGGTATCGGCCCATTGTCACAGACGTTGAGGCGCAACTGTGGGAGAATTCGGTGGAGGTCGTCACCATGGAGGTATGGACCCCTTTACACGTATGCGCATGCGCTGGATCGTGCGGCACGCCTATGACAGCGCCTGTCTTTTGTGCTTCATCTGTATGTGTGTCCTGCTATCTGTCTCCCAGGTCACAAAACAGTCGAACGAACACGACTGTGGCGTCTACGTCATGAAGTATATGCAGGTGATGGTGGAGCGGGCTTTTGCAAACACATCGTCGATAACACTGTGGGGTGATCCAACGGAATGGAGGGAGGATATTAGGGAGGACTTCACCGAATGGAGTGGCTGGTACCCCCCGCAGATGGCCGCAACCTCTTAGTAGCACGTTATTTTGTGGTTATAACATGTTGTGGATTGTGTTGCCATGTAATGGGCTGATGGAGTGTCTGTAATACAGATCTGGCATTGCAATCAGTGCGACATGCCTATGAATGTATTTTAGTCACCAATGGTTCACCCAAGCACAAACATTATCGAGGTTGGGTTTAGAGTGTATAGAAAATGGTCGAGGAAAGAGCACGTTTGGGGGCTGTCACTGTTCCCGAAACCCTAACGCAACGAGAACCACACCTTGCTTACAACCCCTTGTCACACGAGAAATTAACCCCGATCCCGAAGCTCCTCCCAACAACCATGGCCTCCACGCGAGGCGGGCCACACCAGTGCGCTAACAGTCAGCAGGTGGGCCACGCCGTACACGAAGGTGGCGCTCGCGGAGAAAGCGAAGACCCATTCTGTGGAATGCCAGAAGATGTCTATCGAAGCGGAGCGTTTCTCCTTCCGTGCTTTAATCCACGGGCGCATGAGTACCAATGGGATGCTACTGATCCTCGATACGCAGAGTACTGTCAGCCCATCGGCGCCAACCACCCCGCAGGGCACGGGCAGGGTGACGAGGAAGCCGTGGCGCTGGGGGAGCCGGTGGATGCGCTACTGGATGCGGAGACGCAGATTTCCACAGGCTCACCGGACCTCGGGACTGAGACTCCAGCGACTGAGGAGGACTTGAGCTCCCTACGGCCTGCCAATGACAATACGGCGACTGAATTCCGAGGCGGACGAATCGTCGGGCGCGAGCACGATCCTCATCCCGCCCGCCCCATGAACCGCTTTACTGGTGGTGCAACGGGGCTCGTACACCTGCGTTTGTTGGGCGAAAAGCAAGAAGTGGGAGGCACGAGAGTCGAACGGCAGTACCGTCCTGTGGATAAGTCACCTAAGTCGGGGGCGACGGACAAGGCACTCCCTAAGGCAATACCGTTGAGCGCTAGCGATGAGGACCACGGCAAGAAGAGGGACGGCGTTAGTGGCGATGTAGTTGCGCCAACATCACCCCTCGCTGAATCATTGTCGGTGCCCGCATGTCAGAATCACAAACATGGCCGAACCCAGCAGCGCGAAACTGCGAGCGGGGCTACGCTAGGAGTCGGCGGCAGGATGCTAAATGACACACGGGACGAACAAGCGGAGCAGAAAGGGTTGGCGGCACCGATGGCACATGGTGTCTTCATAGACCGCGGGGCAACCAAGCCCAAGGATGAGGACATCGGGCAGGCCGAGGCAGGAGCAACGCCGCGAACAGCGTCGGCGGGTCGTGAAGGGCACCCGCACTCAGGTGCAACACCAGGTATGGGCCTAGTCCCACAACTCACACCCCTTCTCGTGCTAATACCCGGCGTGTCACACCTCCCCAGTTAACGCACCACGCTCACTGTCCAGAATGCCTGCCCTACCCTGGTTTGAATTACAGGACCTGCAGGTACACACCAGGCTCCGAGCGTGCCTCTCCCTGCAGCTGCAGGGCCACCCCTGCAACGTGCCGCGCGGGGTGAGTCAAGGTCACGGGTGTGGCATTCGTCGGGCACCCGAGGTTGGGCTTCGTATAAGATGCCATGCTAAATCGAGCATCTCACACATCCCCTTGTGCAGTTGCCGCCAGACTGCCAAACTTCGATACGGCTATCACGTTCATAGATGTTGTTGAGCGGCTGCTGCCGATTCCTTCTACTATCCGCCTAGCCATGGAAGGTGAGGCATAGTAACCCGGTGGCTGTCCTGGGTATCGTATGATGTCTCACCACTCAGCTCGTGTCGGCAGGAACCAACGACACGAGGGAGGCTGTCATCATGGGATTACCAACCAGAGCCACGGCTCGTGGATGCACTGGCTGCCGGTGAGTTGCTAGTTATGCGTTGCAGGTGTCACCTTTCCTGCCTGGGGCATTTTATCCTTGCAGTCACAGTGATGGTCCCCTCTTTCCCCCTGGTGCAGCTGTGGCCAGGCTGCCGAATTTTGACACTGCCATCACGTTCATCGATGTTGTTGAGCGACTGATGCCAACTTATTGCGCAAAGCGCCCACGCACGGACGGTGATGCGCCGTAGAAACTATTTATCTCTTGAGCTATCACCTTAAAAACTAATTATGACCATTAGCGTGCATCCAGATGGCCCACTCCTTGTAGCAACATGGGACAGTGCTTGGTAGCCATGTCCAACAGGGATAGTTTTACACGGAGTCATGCTGATGGTGGGACCAGAATGAT